TTCCTCTAGCACCGATATATATGTATATGGGCTATCTTGGACTGGAGGAAATAATTTCCTAAAGGAGAGTTGTAGAATTGAGATGTTGTCTTCCAGAAACATTTGAAAATATACATATTTTGGCCTGTATTTGGCTTTCTCTCACTCCTATGAGCCTGTCCAATACTGCACTATATTTTACAAATTCTGATGTAAATTCTTTCCATTCAACAGGAAGCCATAGCTTTCTGCTTCATCCAGCTGTTGCTTCACTTGGTTACATGTTATCCCAAGAATGTTATTGCGGTCTCATTTTCCAACACAGAAGAAAACTTGTTCTATTTGTTTTGGTATACATGATAACATTAAAAATGAAAAACTTTTCTAAATATTTTTAGGAGAGATGTAGAACAAGATGTGATTACTTTAGTAGTAATATATCTGAAGAGAAGAAGTACTGAGGAAAGGTTTCCAGTTCATGAAGGACACTCAGCACGGAATATATAGCAATGGGAATGTGCTGTCTTTTCATGATATGAAACTAAAGGAGTCTGTGAAATATTGGAACATTCAAAAACAGTGGATACCAGAATTGTCTCTGATAAAACTTTTACTGCATTAGAGTTTTCTAGCAGATATTTGTCAGGTTTCCTAAATTTTACTTCTGTCCCTGTATTTTATGTCTGTACCATTGGCTTGCCAGCCACCAAGGTAACGTTTACATGTGGTACATTTACAGCAGCCAAAGAGACAAGTGGAGTCAGAGATTTCAAGGCTTCCTCGTATGTTAGCTCAGCAGCAAATCTGGCTCAAATGTTTCTAAGGAAACACAGTTTGAATGGAAAATGACAGTTCATCAAACCTGAATACTGTTTAGAAAAAATAATGTGATTCTGTGAACCACAGACAGCTGACCTTACAGTCTACTGGAAATGCCATACTTCTGGGTTGGTGACTCACACAATGGTCTGGAGAACATCTGGTCCAAACCCCCTGTTCAAGCAGGGCTGTCAGTTGCCCAGAATCATGTCCAGACAGCCTTTGAATAACTCCAAGGAGAGAGACACCACAACCTCTCTGGGCAACCTGTTCCAGTGCTCAGTCCCGGTCATGGTAGAGAAGTTCTTCCTGCGACTCAGTCAGTGCACACTGTTTCTTGTCCTGTCACTAAACACCATTGAAAAGAGCCTGGCTCCATCTTCCTTATACCCTCCCTTTGGGTATTTATATAAGATCCCCCCAGAACATTGTCTTCGCTAGGCTAAATAGTCCCAGCTCTCTCAGCCTTTCCTCATATGAGAGACGCTCTGGTCCCTTACTCATCTTAGTGACCCTTTGCTGGACTCTCCAGCATGTCCATGTCTCTCTTCTACTGGGGAGTGCAGCAATCAACACATTACTCCAGATGCTGTGTAGAGGGGAAGTATCACCTTCCTTGACCTCATTTTTCCTCCTTCTAATACAGCCAGATGGTCAGCCCCCAGAGAGTACTGGTGCATATTTTAGTCTCTCCCCAGGTGCAGGGAGAATCTTTGCACTTCTCATTGTTGAAATACGAGAGGTTCTTGCAAGCCCTTTTCACCATCCTGTCATGGTCCCTCTTGATGGCAGCACATCCCTCCAGTGTATCAGCTACTCCTTCCATTATTTTTTTCCTTCCCCCACTGCACTGTCATCCTGGTGTTTGATTACCCTCCTTGCTAGTGCTTGACTAAGTCTGGGTATCAATTACATGTACTAAACTCATATATGTTCTTGTATAATGTACAGTTTGTCCTTGATATTTTCATTGCATAAAGAAACCAACTGCCAACTGATTCTTCTTGCAAACAGTTGCAAACTGCAACCTGTGTCTTCCTCAGAGTAGGAATTGTTAAAAGGACAATTGAGAAGCCTATGACTAAGAAATTAGTCCACATATCAAGGTACTGTCTGTAGAAGCTTGACTGAGGCAAAAGATAGTTCCAGAGGAAAAGATTATCTGTATCAGGACCTTTGGTTCACAGAAATTTGCGATGAAGAAGCAGAGCAGGTTTAATCTGAATGGAGTCTCTCTAAGAGACTTGTGAATAAAATTATCACTTGTCCAAATCTTTATCTTCTTTTATGAGGGCAAGTTTAAATTGTCCAAAAGGTTAGAAAGTATTGCTCCATTAAATCTAGTCAGACAGTTTGAAAGGTGGTTAATGTCAAGTATCTGTATGGAAGAGATCCTTCTGGTAATAAGGAGAGGCTTTCTTGCACGTAACAAGACAGTGGCAGCAACACATGAGGTCTAATGGTCTTCAGGGAGGTTTGCAACAGCTAATGAGAACCAGCCAGCTCTAAGTACTGGATGCGTATGCAGAGGTGAAATTTCCAACAAAACGAATCAATTAGTAGAGATAAGAAATTTCTTAAAACAGAAAACAAACCAAACCAATAACAACAAAAATAAACAAAAACAAACCACCAAGCTTCTATGTCAGTCTAATATGTGGATAACACAACTAATAGCTCCAAAGATATAATTAGATAACAAAATACTTTTGTACAATGTAAGCCAGTGGATGATACTTGTAAATATATCTTTGTGCCTACCTTTGCAAATCAGAACTGTTGAGGATAATGCTATCATAATGTCACTAAGACAGCAAACATATAAGAACTTATACAATAAAGTATAACATGTTTTCATGGTTGTAACCAAGAAGTTACCACAAAAGACAACATGCATTCTTGATTTGAATTTGGCATACTAAGGCATTATATTAAAAAATAATAATAATAAAATAAAAATCCTGAGGAACAGTCCTTCAGTGCTTTATAAATAGAATATTTATAATAAAGTTACTGAAACTGTATGTTAAATGTCTGGAAATAAGATATATTTTTAAATGCATCAGCAGACCCAAATCATCCATCCAAATACATAGACCCTCTAAAGAGGATTCTGACTTCTTCTACTTAAGACATTTTGGAGGGTTAGTAAAACTAAGAGATGAAAGCTTGAGCTGATATCATCACAAATCTGGTAGATAAGTTTATATTTTCTCTTTAGTACTGGGCTAGGCTGAAAAATCCTAAAGATAGCAGACAATCTGTTCAGAGTTCTGCAGGAATCAGATGCTTGAACAACAAAATGTGAATATTTGATGAAAAAATGACACCCAATTAGATCTAGTCCATCTGAACAGACAACTAGAATTTACGGTGGGAAGAAATTCAGAAGAAAAGCTTAAAGCCAGCCAGTCAAAGTGCTTTTGCTACCAGAAAAAGGGAGTCATGTCCCTCTCCACCCTGCCCTGGGTCATATTACCTACATTCAGCATAGGAATGTTAAGCACATTGCCCTGGAGTAACCAATTGCACAATATTTGTTTTCCACCAAAAGCTGAATAGAAAGCAGAATTCTTTTACAACTCTGAAAATGGAAACTTGGTTTTATATTTACAATGGTTATTACTTTACACACACAAGCCAACTCATTTCACAGAGGTTGTTTGCATACTGGCTTCTGTATGAGGTACCTGTGCTATCTTTTAGATGACCACCTAGAGTTTGGTTAGCAGCATCACTATTGTAGCACAGAGCTCAACATAAAGCTGTGACCAAGCTAGCTTACTTTTGACCACATTTTGAAGACCTCATGGGATTCAAACACATTGACTAATGCATCCTGACGTGGAAACTTAGAGAAAAACTAGCAAATATCTACTGTAAGATTAAAGTTTATTTTGAAAAGCACTGTAGGTCATTGTCATTGGTGTTCATCCAGCTCTATAAAACTTGGTGCCAGAGTCAATGATTCCAAACTGTTTGTGCAACAAATGTTAATCTGTGAGTTTACAGAGATTAGCTCAAATAGTTTAAATTGAAATATGTAATACAGTTTAATATAATCTATACCTCTTTTTGTTGCCACCTGTAGTAGAGTAACTATGTCAACTCTTTTAATACACCCATAAAATTCAAGAATTCAGAAAGAATCTAAGCTTTGCTAGCAACATTGTGGAGTCTCTTTTAGGTAAAACTTCTTGCATAGTTAGCAAAGAAAGAAGATATGTGTATGAATAACAGTAATGTAACAACTTTCAGTTTGTTAGGCATTGTAAGGACAATAAACTAAAAAAAAAAAAAGTCCTCCCTTGTTAAAATCAAAAAATATATTCACACTTTAAGACTCACTACAAAGCAGTTTGAATAAATTCGAGGAACGAGTCCATTAGTAAGAAACCCCAATGTAATCAAAGAAAAAACATTTATACCCTTAAAGAAATGGGAGTAATAGGCCCAGTTGGAGTATGTTGGGGGCTACATACCAAAAGAACAGGAAACAGTGGAAAGATGAGGAGCTATGATGCTATGATGAAGTTTCAGAAAATGCCTTTAATTGTAGACGAAGTGAGGGATTTTGAGAATTATCAGCTAATCTGGATGCATGTGACCACCCATCTCTTTCCCAACTTGTTGCAAGGACCTGGAGAGCAGCACCAGGCCCTATTGTTCCTGCATGGCCCTGCTGTGACTGTGGGATGGGACAGGCTGCCAGGCTCTGCCCTGCCACCCCATTGAGGGGTCCCCAGCTGATGCAGTGCCTTTGCACTAAGCAGGGAGTGCAGACTCAGGGCCAGGGCTGACCATGGCTCCTCTGCCATGGACTGGAGTATGGGGTGAGGCAGGCCAGGGTCATTAAGACCTATTGGGACCCTGATACCTTCCTGGATGAAAAGCTCTTAAAGCAAATGAAAAAGACACAAACAATTAAATCCCAGCTTGCCACTTTTAAGCTAATTTAAGTACTTCTATACTATGCTGCAAAACACAAATTAGCCACATAGAAAGATCATAGAATCATAGAATATCCTGAGTTGGAAGGGACCCTTAAGGATCATCAAGTCCAACTCTTGAAGATTCCTTAAGATTCCTTAAGTTAGTTCAGAAATATCAGTTTAACCTGATGCACAGTATAACATCTTACATTTTCTAAAAGGGATAAAAATAGTTTAAAAAATGTTGATGTTATTGGCAACTCTGGTGAATGTGAACATGTAGTTTAGGAGTAAAGCTTCATTTATTTTCATTTTCAGGATGTTATACATAGAATGGATTATAACTGTGATTGTACATTTTGAAATTGAAAAAAAAAAAAAAAGAAAAAGAAACAAAACTCCTGTCCTTGCTAGCTACAGCTTCCAAGAGCCTAAGCAGACACTCCTGTACCATTAGATATGTTTATTCTTTTAGAATACCACTGCTGCTATTGCTTTTCTCTTAACCAGCTGTACTATAGCTGGGCATCCAAAAATCATTACTATTTCACCCTTTAAAATTATTATCATTAAAGTGTTATTTCCCACATTGGTATATACTAATCACATAGAAAATCACAGATGGGAAACCTGAATGTAATTTGCAAAATATATCAAGAACATGTGTCTTATTAAATATCCTTTCTAAACTCCAGTGACCACAGAGAGAGGGATAAAAGGTAAAAACTTTCTAGTCAGTTTCATTTTGGTGGTATTTGCTTATTCACCTTTCAGTCTCATGGTTTCTGATCAGATGTTCATGCCTACTACAGCTCCAATATGCTTGTAATAGATGCTGAAGATTACTAAATAATTCAGGATTTTTCCAGGATTTGAGGCTGACTGCGGTTGTTTTGGTTTCAGGACATCAGTTGAATCACCTCCAACGGGCTGGATTCATGTCCATTGAAAGTCTTTCAAGTTGGTACTTGAAATGCAAGAAAAAGAAATGCAAGCATCTAAAATCATTAAATGTTTTTGAAAGTAATTGCTTATGCCTACATGCAGAATAAACAAAGCAATAAAAGTAATCAAAATCTTACTGAACTATTTTAACACACACAGTCTAAAGTCTTTGGGCAATAAGGCAAAAAATAGTCCACAGTATTGTGAAGGGCATTACCAAATCTAAAGAATGAAGAACAAAAACAAGTATGTTTCAGAACTATGCATGACAGTGAAAACCTAGTATCTACAATATGGTCTATGTTTGTGCACTACCTGCACAACAAGCATTTGTTTCAAAGGAGAAGAGACTAGTTTGAGGTAAATTGTTGTTTGTTTTAACTTCTTGGTGTTACTCACCTCCGTGTTTCCTTGTAGAAAATAGTACCATTCTCTTGTTTTCTTGTAGAGAGTGGTAGCATTATAAACATATTTGAGTAGATATTCAGAATGTACCAATAATAAGAAGCACCTTTGTGGTTTTGTTGCACATCGTTTGCGAGGAATGAAGAAATGAGTTGATATCATATCAGAACAGCATAATTTTTCTTCATGATTCTGTGAAGATGCTTTGCAACAAATACTGTGCATATGCATATAGTGTTCTTCAAATGCAACTAGTAAACATACTACAACATTCGTTTTAGTCACAGTTTGACAGAAACTAAGCAGATTGTTTATGAATTTTGAATCATCATTTGATGAATGTAATGATCTTCAATGAAATACAATAGAAAGTAGTTCAATTTAAAGACCTACTGAAGAGACGAAGAAACAATTGTTTACAGCTTCCAATCAGTAACAACTAAAAGCATTTGGCACAAGGGACACACCACTTCAGAAGCCTCTATCCACAGAAATGTGCAGAAAAGCTTCCTGGTAATTCAGCCTGGTCACTTGAGATTAGGACCACAATTTATTTAGCTGTTTGATAGCCAGCTGTGGATGATTTCAATTACACGTGAAAAAAGTTCAGGGTCTGTATCTGAAAAAGGATTTTGGCATCTAAAATCTGCGTCCAAAAATGTAGTCTAAAATACCATACTGACTGAGCATCTAGACACTTTTATCCCACTTGAGCCTGTCTGGGAAACAGCAAGTAGGTGGAGTGTTATATATTTCTGGGGATGCCTGATCTGGTTCCAATGAAAATGTAGTTGTGCATTCTTTACAGTACACATTGATCACAGAAGGAAATTTAAGTTAACAGTGTAATGGTGAGAGCACTTGCCCAGACAAGAAGAAACTAACACCAAGACATCTTACCACCTCAGTACCCCCAGTCACTGGATTTCATAATCATTTCTCCTTCAACATTTTTCTTTACTGGTAGTATGTATATTTTGTTGTTGTTGTTATACACTTCAGAATGAGAGGAAGAGCAGTTAAGTAATCTCTTTGATGGTAATTTTGTATTACACTTTACTCAGGTTGATCTCAGAATGCACAAATAGATTAATTTCCTTCTTTGTGTGTATATGATCCTTGTAAGACGAGGATGTTTCTCAGAAATAGAGGGAATCTTATGGTTGCCTGATAATCAGCTGTAAGTACTAAAATTCAGAATCAATGGAGCATCACTACTGCATGTACAGGACCTCTGGAGAAGTCTTGGATCAGAGTAACTGTTTGATTTCTATTAAATTATTGTATTGGAAGGGTGCTATTGAACACCACTAGCACTTAATAAATGGCCTGATCATATAATTGGCACAGTATTGTTCATCTTTAGGCTGTCCATATCATAATGTTAAATGATAAAGGCTAGTGTACTCACATAAATCCTATGTTGAATATGAAAAATTATTTTCTTTTGATGATAATGTACAAACAACTACTCCTGGCAGTTTTTCATGTACAAATTGTAAAATGGTCTTATTTTAACTTTTATATGACACCAAGTACATTTTTCCAGCAAATAAAATCCATTAGGCTAATAACCATGCTGTGAAATACTAACAATGTAGCATCTGGGACTTTGCACTGTATCACTTTATAAATATTTGTTATGTGAAATTTAGTTCATTCCTGGTAAACTGCCTTGACTTGGGGAACACTGAAAGCATCAGCTGCATAAGGTTAATGTTAATGTCAGTCTTTGACCTCTAAAATATCTGTCACTGCTGGCAATAAATTAGTGAATTTTACCATAATAATTTTGCCATATTATAAATTTCTTCAGTGACATGGAACCACTGTTGTTTAACAGAAAGGGAAATATACATTTAGGTCAGGAACAGAGCAGACTATGCGAATTAGGTTGCAGAGGGAGGATGTCTAAGTTCTCTGTTGTAGGCTTTGCCCCAAAACATGATGTGGGAGCTATCAGCATAACATATGCTACATTTCTTTCTTTACTGAAAAATTGAAGAGCTTTAATCAACTTGTAAAGATTTTCAGACTACTCTGACGGGCTGTACATGCAGAAACTGTACATTTTTGAAAGCAACCAACCACCCCCTCCCATTAAAAGATCTTAATTTAAGTTGCTTACAGGCTGAGATAAAGATATGAGTTGGATGAAAAATAGTTGCTTAAAGAATGTGGCAAATGAAACAGTGGCAAAGAGAAATATATTTGACAAGGAATCAGTGTAGGAATTTGAGGCTAGCTAGCCAAATTGAACATAGCAAGGAGGTAAGAAAATGGGGACATAAATTGAAGAATAAGATCAAGCACATGCATGTGACTAAGAGGCAGTATTGACTGTTAAAATAGAAATTAGAGGAACAGCTGAGATAGAAAGATTGAATGCGTTGACTGTAGAAAATAGCCTGAGATATTAAACTGGCAATAGAAAGGGAGTATTATTTTTTATTGTAATGGGAAACTGAAGGATTATACATTCCTCAAATGACTAATAATATTTATGAAACTCAGGCTAGCAAATACAATTTCCTAGCTATAAACATAAATCTAGAATTAGAATAGAAGCATATGTCTAGAATAGAATAGAATAGAATAGAATAGAATAGAATAGAACAGAACAGAACAGAACAGAACAGAACAGTTGCAAGAGGCCTACAAAGACCATTGAGTTCAACTGTCAGGCTATTTTGGGGCTGATCCAAAGTTAAAACATATCATTAAGAGCATCACCCAAATGCCTATTAAGCATGGGGCATAAGACACCTCTGAAGGAAGCCTGTTCAGTAAAGTTTTTCCTAGTATCTAATCTGAACCTCCCATGATGGATCTTTGAGCCATTCCCACACATCCTGACACAAGATACCAAGGAGAAAAGATGAACACCTCCTTCTCCATTTCTTCACCTTGGGAAGCTGTAGAGAGCAATGAGGTCATCCCTCAATCTCCTTTTCTCCAAGCTTAACAAACTTGTCCTCAGTCTTACCTCATAGGACATGCTTTCCAGCCTTTTAACCTGATTTATTGCCTTCCTCAAGTATCTTAATATCCTTTTTAAATTGTGGAGCCCAGAACTGCATATAATTCTCTAGGTGAGACTGCACCAATGCTAAATACATTGCAAGAATCTCCTCTTTTGACTGGCTGGCTATGCTGTGTTTAATGTACACAAAAATGCCATTTCCCCTCTTGACAGCCAAGGCACATTGATGGGTCATGTTGAGCCTATTGTCAACCAGAACCCCCAGATCCTTCTCTGCAGGGTTGTTCTCCAGCCAGTCATCTCCCAGTCTGTAATACAGCATTAATTTGTCCCAAGTACAGAATCTGGCATTTGTTCTTGTTAAATTTCATGCTGCTGATGATGGCCCAGTGTTTCAATCTATCTAGATCTGCCTGCAAAGTCTCTTGTCCCTCAAGAAAGTCCACAGCACCTCCCAGTTTAGTAATGTCAGCAAATTTACCAAGGATGCATTCAACTCCTGCATCCAGATCGTTGATAAAAATATTGAACTGAACTGGCCCTAAGATTGAGCCCTGGAGAACACCGCTAACAACTCACTGCCAGCCAGAAGTAGCCACATTCACTACAACCCTTTAAACCCTACTGTTCAGCCAGTTCTTTGCCCAGAATACCATGTGCCTGTTCAATTCACAATTGCACAGTCTAGATATCTGTCAATAATTTAGCACTATTTTCTGTTCTCTCTACAGTGCTGGAACTCTTGTGGTATGAAATTAATGGTTCCCAACTAACCATACTAGATAATGGAATTCTTATTCTTGCCATATTTCCAAAGAAAACTAAGGTTATACTGTTGCCTTTTCTAATACCTTTTTTAGTCAACTGGACATTGTCCACCAAATTTTTCAGATAGGAAGTGGTCTTGCTTTGCAACATATTTTGTGAAGTACAACAGCTGATTGAGAATACAGAACCCATCAGTGATCTTCTGGGTAAAAAAGAGAAAACAAGGAGCCTTGCTGGTGGTATTGTGCTTGCCTAAGTAGCTCCTCCTAATCAGTATACATGCAGATTTGTACTGTTGAGTGTGTTGTTTTCCTGTTTAACTGGTCAACTTAAAAAATAATACTAGAATTAGGCAGAGCTACTGGAATTACATAAGAGTAACTATACAGAATTAGGGTATCACAAGGAAGTAGCAAAAGGCTGGATATACTGGAGGACCTGAAGGCAGAAATAGGAGCTACAGGACACTAAAGATAATGGAAACTAATGATAAGATGATCATCTTACCCTGATGAGCAACAGCATCCAGTACATTGTTCCCTCCAGCCCACAAATTCTGATGCCAAGCTTCACTGAATTCCTGTATAACTGAAAGCTAGAACAATTTTTTTTTCTAACTCCCAAGAAATGGCTCACATTCACACTCAAAACTGTACAGTGAAGGAATGTGAAGTTAAAAATTATTAAAACTAGTCTCCCAACCTCAGTTTGTCCCTTGGTGCATCAGGCAGTGGTGTCCAGCAGCATTTCCAAAGTATATATACCTAAAGACCTTTGAGATTCAGTTTCTGTTTTTCTAAACATTGTTGAGTTTATTTTCAAAATTCTGTACTCTGTAGATGAGCAACAAAATAACAACAATAATAAAAACCATTAAAAGGTTCTCTGCATGACAATGGATAGTACTCCTCATGTTATACTTAAGTGCATTCCTTACCTGTATAGTGATTAAAATGTTTCAATATTGTTATTTAAATACTTTTCAGACTTCCATTATAGAACCTGCTAGTTAGGCTTTAACCAGATTGCTGTGGGAAACCAAATTATTTCTTGGCAGCGAACTAATAATTCTTTACCTAATTTCCTTATAAGACAGCCAGTGCAATAATTTGCCTCCTTTCATGTGGTTTACAAAGGCATAAAATATAATAACAAAAGTAAGGCAGAAGTGCGCAAGCTGGTTAAGTGAATGTAGTCAAATGGTTGCCTGCTTTTTTCCTTCATTTTTCACAAAATATTCATTTCATACTTAATAAACTGGTTTTCTACTTCTTAAACTTTGTTTATTTCTTGGATCTGTCTTAGACTAGGATTACAGGGAATGGGTTGCTTGGCAGAAGTTTTCTCCTGTTCCAGTTTATCTCTCAATTCTAGTAACACTTGGTTCTTGGCTAACTGAAAATATGCTTCCCTACAGTTGAGAAAAGCATTATGCAAGTTATAGAAAAATCAGCTCTGTGCTCTCCTGCTGTCTTGAAGATGTGTTTGGTATTCCCAGGAGCATGAATTTGTATCAAATTTATTCACTTCTGACCACCACAGAGTGTAATAAATGTTTTTCAACACAGTAATGCTATCATTTTGTAGTCTCCTATGTAAACAACAATTGATTTGTACAAGTATTACTTTGCATTGACTGTGCAGTTGTCACATTAAACATCTTTCCTCGCAAATTATATAACTCACATCTGGTCTCTTAACCTTGGGATCTCTGCCATGTACTGCTATATCTATGATTACTCTTTTGGCAGAAACTTTTTCTTTTACCAGCTTTCAAACTTCAATGCATACTTTTTACATATTGTGAAAAATACACACTCTAATTCCTGACTTGTGCCAAGGTCAGAGACAAATAATTAACTTTTGCTCTGGCTTTGACAACTCATTAAAGACAATACAATTCATATAATACAACTAATCCAATTCAGCACCACAAGCATTTCTGAAGGTTTTTTTTTTACTTTGCATGGCATCCATGAAAAATTTTGGAAAATAATAATAAAAAAAAATTGAACATTATTTTTGCAAGTTAGGAACATTAATTAATATAGCAAATTGCACAAACAATACTTTTAACTCAAGAGATTTGTTTCAATTTCTTAATAGGCTTATAGTGAATATTTATTATGTGATTTTTAAGGACAAAATAAGTATAGAGCTGGTCCAATAACAGTGGATCAGATTCTCTCCCACTCTGCATAATTTGTAATCATTTTACTTTGTCTGAACTGAATGCAAAGCATTGCTACTTTGTTTATGTTTACCTCTAAAAATGTAAACAGCTGTGTATGGCATCAGAGAATATTATCTACTCTTTTGTTCCAAATTATCATCATTTAATTGTTTCATATTATTTTCTGCTAAAATATGTCAAAATATACATTTCTCAATTTTTTACACTTTTTTTTTTTTTAATTAAGTGCTCATTTAGACCTCAATTAAGTTCAATTGCTCTCACCAACCTACAGCACTTATTTTTCTGTATTTTTTCACTTATTTTTCTGTATCAGAATCTTGATAATAGTGAACATGTCACGCAGATAACATTGGAAATTGATAGAGGTGACTTTCAGTCAAAAACTTCAGAAGATTAATGACAGTTTTCAAAAGATGCTGAGACTTTTTTCACTGTAAAGTTTGTACCAGTATTGTGAGCCTGTGATCACTACGGTTCTGCTCTGATAAACTGTAAATAACAGAACTTGGGTCTGAAATCCAAATGCTATTATTTTGAAATGTTTTCTTTTTAGGGTTTAATTTTTTCTTTTTAGGGTAAAAAAAAAAAAAAAAAAAAAAGGTTTTGCCAGTGGAAACAGAGAAATTTCAGAGTTGAATTTTGGAACTGCCACAATGAGTTATTTAGAACTGAAAAGCTTCCTTTTGACCAATCCAGCAAAATATTCAAAATACTCAATTGCATTGTTTTGACCAGCTGTAATATCCTGTGCCCCCTACAACTTTCCTATTTATGAGAATCAGGTTATGTCAAGTTACCTGATGTAGCTTGAGCAGGCAATGAAATATTTCATTTAATTTCTGAACGGGAAATATATTATTTTTTAGGAAACAGGCACTTAACTAAGCAAAAAAAAAGAAAAAAAAATAAATAAAAGAGACAGTAAAATAGGAACTACATCCATTATTAGCAATCTGTCCTGTTGCGTATGTTACACAACACTGAAGTTTTGATATTAAAATTATAAGTTTACCCTAACTTAGAAAATATGCTATATCTTGATATTTCAATCAAAGTAAAAAAAACTTTGATAGTGTTATTAAACCCATTATTTTATCATCTCTAACAGTATCCATATACTGCCAACATACTCAGAACAACTATAACTTGCAACAACAAACTTCCTTGAGAAGAACAGAATCTTCCATAATCTTTACTCAGAGAAATAAACAGACCAATAGGTTTCTTAGAAGCCCAGGTTATAAAAAATAATCTTTTTTTTTTTTTCTCTTTTCTTAAAAGATGGTAAAATAGATATTGTAGCAGTACTTATTAATTAAACAAAAAATGCTCTGTTGCAATGATATGTTGTTTAATTTATGTTTGGTGCTTCAAGTTTAAAATATTAACAGGGTTGTTTGTTTATTTGTTTTCCATTTGGAATACATCAACCATGTTTCCCCACCTGTCCTATCTTGAATTGAGAGCAAATTGTACTGAAATAAGAAATACAGTATGACAAACGAACCCAAATGAGTTTTGAGGTTTTGGGACTTCATACTGAGAAGTTTAGAATACTACAATATTTTTAGTGAACAAAGATTAAAAGGCAAAAAAAAGTCTTACAAAAAGAAAGAAAATAGAAGAAAATACTAAATACGTTTTTGTTTGTTTGTTTTAAGTCTTGGGATTGGGTTAATGATCACGTAGAGCGAAACAAGTCCAAACTGTTGGAAAAAAATAGTTTTCTTGTCTTACATTTAAAACAGTAAGGAAAGAGATATATAGAGCAGTAAAATGAACAAAGTAGAAAGGCCCATTATTTCTGCTAAGGGAAAAATAATCCCATTCTATCCAGTAGAATTGTTTTAGCGTAAGTTGCTTACTTACAAGTTGCTGGCTTGCTTTTAAAAAACACGCTAAAGAACATATATCCAGTCCGTTAAAAACCTAGAAAGGAAAATAGTACCAGGAAAAAAAATCTTGATAGTCATCACAAAACACAAAATGAAATCCTTTTAATTATTGTCAAAGTGTGTTCATTCATCATTCATCAAGAGAAGCAAACACACCAACAAAAAACACATGATTATCTGCTAAGTGCCGAATAAGCTAAGTGCTGAACTTAGGTATTTCCCCACAGTGAGCTGATATCTGACAGATATCAGCACTCAAGTAAAATTGTGATGTCTGAGACAAGAATGTGTATTAGGGGATTGGAATCTGGAAAACTCTTTTTTTTTTTTTTTTTGGTATTCTAACCAATTTGTTTACCAGTTTATTAAGAGAATACAGTAGCTATGCCAAAGCAAAGAAGAAAGCACTTCTCAGAAAGTGTTTTACTATTAGAACATAGAATAGTCTATTTTTGGAAACCCAGCAAGCGTTTTATATTTTTAGAATTACTTCCAAAGTGTTTTTTATTATTATTTTTTTTTAACTAGAACTGTATTCGTGGTACAGTCCGAGTAGCTATCAACAGATCTTTGAGCCACAATAAAAATGAAATGTATTATTATCTACATATCAACATTGCAGACAAATGTTGACTTAGTCCAGAAATCCTGTGCAAATTACAGTGCAAAGTAGATGTAGGAGCCTTTGATATGTATTACCTACCTCTGAGCATATTTAGTGTATATAATTTTGCAAAATAAACTGAAGATTTGAAAGGTTTCTGAATGCAAGTTATCTGCTTGCTCTATTTATTTTTTATTTAGCTGCTTACATACATTTAGCTAGACTTTTTAATTTGTGAAGCAAATTACAATATATTGCCATCAGACCTTCCTTTAGAAACAATGCAATCTAGTTATATAGAATGTATCAGTTTGTTTTTGTTTGAGAGAGCATGCATCATTTCTTATTCACTGATTTCTCATGATTATCACGTCATTATTTATTTATTTATTGTAATTACTGTAGCAAGTTACAGTTTTAAACTCTATGGAGTTATTATAACTTATTTAATTCCTAGTGTTTAGCAGGCAGAATAAATATAATGACATGTATTTTATTTTCATTTAGTGAAAAACTAATGGGCTGTGAATATTGCTAAAGGACAGGAAAAACTGTCAGGTGATTTTGATTTTTTAATAATTATTACAAAGTAAAAGTTTGGAACCAAATTTATTTCACATTCACCTCTCAAAAGAAAAGAAAGAAAATAAAAAAGAAAGAAAGAAAGAAAGAAAGAAAGAAAGAAAGAAAGAAAGAAAGAAAGAAAGAAAGAAAGAAAGAAAGAAAGAAAGAAAGAAAGAAAGAAAGAAAGAAAGAAAGAGAATCCTAATCCCTTTTTTACATAGTGTTTCTAAATTTTTGAGTTTCAGTATAAAAAAACTGTTCTCTGTGCAACTTCATAGGTACTGATGTGTTTATTTCAAGCTATGCCTCAAGCATTTCTCAAGGAATACTTACAGCTCTCTTGAGAAAATGTCTTAAATAAAATAAGAACAAACATCAAGAATTCAAAATAGTTTCTGCATACTGCTGATGGATGTCTTTCTAAGTTACTAGTTATAGCTTTTACCTCCTGTCTTCTAGATTATCAAAGTACTCCCTCCAAAGGCAGCTAGTTCAGAAAAAAAATATATAAAAATCTCAAAGTTAAAATTTGATTCATCTGTTCCTACATTCTAGGCTGAAACCCTGCCCTCCCTGGGAAAAACAAACAAACAAACAAACAAGAGCAATCAAACAAAAACCAGTAACTGTCCTGACTCAAGAAATTAAAAATTTCCTGTGGAAAAAAAAAATCCTAAGATGGTGTGACAAAAGCAATAAGATTTCTACAAATAACTCTTTATTGCCCACATTATTTTTTTTTACTGTTTGTAAAAAACAGAAAATGTAGCACTTTATTCAACTATCTCAACATAAAGCAGCCCATGATTTGGGTACTTAGTGATTGCACAATACCTATTTCAGTTCAGTGACACCTTTTCCACCTAGTTTCATTTTGTGTCAGCCTACAACTGAGACTCAGAGTCATGAAGTCACTTACTGAAAACGATTACAAAAATGCATGATGAATATTATTATTACCAGGTAGGCTAGGTTTCCCATCAAGCAAAGGCACAAAGTCATTATTTGAAAGAAAATCCTTGGATGTAAGCTCAGGATCCGGAGGGAATGACTAGCCTTTAATGTTCCTGCTTGGCCTCTTCCAGGGCCTCCTCCCACCCTGCCCACGGGGACAGTAAATGGCTGTATGTGTTTAAGAAACCTCATAAAAATCAGTCTTGTAATTGAAGCTATTGTAACTACAAGTGATAATTTCAGAAGAAATTTGCGAACACAGTGCTGAAAGGATCTAACCAAATTTATTTCAGATCCTCATTTGTTATTACACAAGACTATTAGATGTCTGTAGATAACAAGCAAGAATAAAGTGCATGTGTGAAAATCATCAACCTATAGACACTTTCAAGCTATGAACAAATAATTATCTTTAAATATGTTATCACCTTGATAATATTTGGCTAGCATAGATAATTTGGCTGCTATATTTTTTGTACTGAAAAAACAGCAAGATGGTATAGCTCCATACGTTAGTTTAAGAATATGCATCTTTTTTAAATACCTCTCAAAAAGAAGTGGTATGTGTGATTTGTTTTCTCACAGGAAAGTATCCATTGTTATATCCTAGCATCCCATCCAGTTTTTCTCCTATAAACAAGCTATAAATAAACTAATACAACTTATTTTAATTATTTCTAGGTGAGAGAGTCTAAAACCTGCACTATCGTGGCCCTCTTTGAACAACCTGAAGTGAAGTTTTATACCAGATTAAAAAAATACATACTCAATAAACATACAAAGTAGTTGTAAAAAATATTAGTAGAAAAGAAGAAAATAACCATTATTCTGGAACTTCAAAACTTTCCTAAGGTGCTTACACCACCTGCAGGCTCCAAAAATTAAAAGAAAAGGCACTCCATATTTTCCTTTGTGTTCAACATTACTTCATATTGCATTTTCCCTTTTATTATTTATTTATTTATAGCTTTCCCTTTCTATTTATAGCTTTCTTCTTCTAACTAAGCTTATAATTGTTACAAGGAACCCCTTCATCTTTACATATTGTTTTTCACTCTACTTCCCTATATTGGCAGATACTGCAGAATATTCTGATATTACTTATATAACCTCTTTAAACTAAAGTTACCTCAACACTCGTTGTAGGAAAAGCAAAAATCACATTTCAACAATTTACTTGATTGAGATTTATTTCTTATGTTTATCTTGATTTCCATTACAATATTGCTGGATTTTGTTGAAAACCTATGTGATTTCTGGACAACTCTTTTGGCTCTGCATTTCAGTATGGCCAGAAATATATATCAAAACAATCTATTTGTTATACGAAAGCCACTGAACTCCTGTCACTGAAAACTGAATTTATTTTTCCTTTCTATGAGAACGTCATTAGACAGCCACAAACGTCTTCTTCTGAACAGACCATTTATGTTTGTATAAGAATTAAAAAGCATCTATGTAGCACATGTAGATGCGTAGGTAAATTACACGCACTGAGAATGCCCTGTCCCTAACTTTCTGAAAGCCTTATTTTTCAGTAGACATAATATCCTCATTAATTCCAGCTGCTGGAGAAATAGAGATAGTCTCTAAAACAGCTAGACTCCATGGACAAGTTAATTCCAGGTAGGTGATACTGCGGGGTGTATGTGGGGTTAAGGATATGACAAAGAGACTTATGGAAAGAAAATGACAAGAAAAATCTAAGACAATAGGACTCAGAAATTTACTGTGTACTGAATAAGCTAAAATTTCCACCTTACTGCAGGAAAAGTACATTGTATAAACACAAAAGCAACGTAATAAACCGTTCTACCTTGAAAGTCACACAAAAAGATAGTAGCACTCACAGCAAACAGTTATTTAAAATAGTGCTAGGAGTACCAAAGATAAGATAATTCAGGATTTATTCTGCTCCTGACATCGAACTACCAATCCAAAGCTCCTCAGTTTTTTAGTGCAAACCCTAGACCCCTCTGCCACTCCTGGTAAAGAGATGTTATGAAACAACATTTGTAAAAAGCAGAAGTGTCTCTCAAGGGCACAAAGAAGTATAGTAGGACTGCTGGTGCAGACTTCATCGGTTATTTGTCAAATGTAGGGTAATTTGTTAAGGTACTTTGTAACTATAATTATTAAGTTATGAAATGTTTATGGGTAGTGCATCTCAACGGGAAAATATTATTTAAAATGTTTATACGGAATAATAGCCAACAGATTGGTAAATAAAGATTTCCTGTCACACTATTTCAGGACATCTGAAGTCTCATGCATGAAACAAAGCAGTATTTCATAAACCATCTATCTGGGCATGTCTGGAGAGTGTATGACATTGGGTTTCCCACATCTATTTACAGAGCTAATTTTCTTTGGGTTTGGAGTTCTTCCAGAGTTCATGGTGTTTTTTGGTTTTTGTTTTTTTTTCTTTTCAAAAAGTAGCTATGGTACTGTCCCATTCAGCCTCATTTCTGTTACCCTGATTTCAGAGACATCTGTAGCTAGCAAAGTGATTCAAACGGTGTCATTCAATTCCAGAAGCTGGAAGTCCATATCAGTTGATAATAAATGTTGTTTTGTAAGCTAAATATTATTTATATGTATTTTTTGAAGCCATTGTTTAATTTTGACAGCCTGTAAGTAAGCTTACCACAGGCTAGAAATGAGCATTTACCTTGGAATCAATAAAATTACTTTTGAAAACTCACAAATAACTTCTGTTGCAAATTCACAGATATTCAGTCCCCTTAGAGGTAAATGAACATGGTCTGAATTTTTTATGTACCTGATGAATAATCATTGGGCTACACCTGGATCCAAACTGTCACTATCTGCTTTGCACATAGATTACTTTCATTATATTACATGAAGTCTGCTGCAATTTATTCAGTAAATATCTTATTCAGTAAATGAATAAGATTCTCATTCATATGCAAATTATTCCACATTCCATAGGATTTGGTATTGCAACATAATCATGTAATTCAGAAGCCTGTTTAATTCCATCTATATTTGCCAGGAACTGATGTTACATTATTTTTCTGTGTTACTATTTTCCATTTTCAAAAGTATATGAGCATGGTTTTAGGCGATGTCCACAATAATACCAACTTCCACGTGCAAAGTGCTCCATGAATTTTTGAATAGAAAAATAAAATTAAAAAAAAAAAAACACAAAACCCCCACCACAAAAAGATTTCTGCATAGAAATGCAACTGACTACATATAATCATTAACCTGTTTAAAATGGGCTGAAAATAACATGAAATATCCCAACCCTGGTGGATTTGGAATTTATTTTTTTTAAGTGTAGTAGGACATCATAGTTTTCATGACTTCATAAGCTAAAGTTAGAGTAGTAGCCACTTTAAAAATACAAGCTGCAATTTAAACATTTTGGATGAAAGCAGACATGAAATATTTCTTACTTCTGCTTCATACAGTTAAGGAATTATGACAGTTCTAGACATATTTTAATTCATTTTAATTCCATTAATTCATTGAAAAAAAATAAGGATTATTCTTTGTATCAGGGAGCAGAGATGGATAGTAGTCTTTCTTTCTCTGGGGCATATCCTTCCTACTTGAACCAACTTGAATGGTCTTTCCCTGTTGGGAACATGAAATACTAACCGAAGCATTTGTTGCTTTTTGCAGCAGCAGCAACAGATTCAAAGACACTGTTGCTACTAGTTTTTGGCGAAAAGCCATTACAACACATTCCAATATTGCCTTTATTTTGTGAGGGAGCTCTGCTGTAATGGAGAGACATAAACCAAATATTTTATTTGGTTTTTCTTTCTTTTCTTTCTTTTTTTTTCTCTTCATACAGAAAAACTATCCCCATATTAAGGGCTTTTCTATTTCATAGCAATTGCTCTATCATTCCAGTTAGGAGGTTGATTTGGAGCCTTAAAACTATGTTGTGCAACCTGTACGGCATAATGTATGTTTCCCATTCATGCAGTTCAGAAAACACTATTTAGTCATTAATATCCTGGTCTGTTTCAATGATAAATTCCAATCAGAAGTCAAGGAGATGGCATACATTTCTGATACTCATCTGCTATTATTGCAGAAACTTGCATAACTTAAGCTACAGCTAAGACGTCTAAAACTCACTATTTGCTTACACACTGAAATGAACTTGGGAGATTTTGTGTCATATTGCCCCCTGGTGAAACTTTTTGTAAAATTTCTATTTCAAAACTTCACTTTTATTTTTATCACTGTTATTGCCATATTACTGTATTCTTGATGACTAAATGTAATTCTTTTAATATTAATAAACTTGTACTCATTTAAAGACAAAATCCTCATACTCTGTTAAACAGGAAAAGCTAGAATATTCTTAAGTTATTTTTTCTTAATCTCATCACTGAGATTTTCAGGCTAGACTTGCAATAGGCCTGGGTTCCAAACTCACAGTCACTTTCATACTTAAGGTCATATCGTTAATAAATTTAAAACTTACCTATATTTTTATATAATACTGTTGCACATGTCATAAAATTTAGTACCTCATTTACCAGACTACAATAAAATAAAAAGAATAAACAATTCTATTGGAGAAAACACAATTAAAGAGAACACTGTGTAAAGTATAAGCTGAATTTTGGCAGGACATAAAACACTGAAGCTGTAATTCTGCATCCAAAATTAAGGTCATGCTAACTGCTTAGAGGAAGATTATGCACTGCAGTAGGAATTACCTTGAATTCTACTCACTGCCTATAAAAGACTACTGCTAGGCTTTTAGTGACATTGACTCCATCAGAAATATTAAGGACAGATATTTCAGAAGTGCTTGGAATTCAGTACCTCTTATTTGGTCACTTGTGACAAATTCTTGAAGACTTCTTAAAGATGAGCAACTGCAATCACCTGTCACAAAAAGAAACAAGTAATTTTATGTATATATTTATATATAAATATGTAACACATATATACATAAAGCCATATAATTACACCAAGTTTACTTGAAAAGTAAAATAACTTTGCCATTTGATTACATTCATTTTTTCCTCCACCTTAGATATTATTTTGATTTCCACCTAAAAACAGAAGCCACTGTGAAAAGTCATTTGGCACCAAGGTGGCAGTACTGTCATAGAAGAGGCAGTCTACATCCTGAAGACCTTGCTTTAGACTCAGCTGCTGAGTGGGCAACTTGCCAGTCTAACAGATGGGCAACAGTAATGGCAGTAATGTGCCCTTGCCCGTGTCTGTGCAACTACTGCATTTGCCTAGGGAAAGGCTTTCATCCAAGATTGTCCCAACAGCTGTTCATTCTGAGTTCCTATCCACATTGTTAAGAAGAGATGTCAACACTAATCCGTTTTCGAGCTATAATAATTATTTTTTAAAATAAAATAAATGCAGCTTTATAGCTGGTAGAGTATGCACAGTGAAAAGTCAGTATGTTTACACAAGTACATCATCTTCATAAGGCTCTCAGCTCCATCTTTCAAATGAAAAAAAAAAAAAAAAAGAAAAAAGAAAAGGCATGATTATGCATGATAAAACAAGGCAGCAAAGCTATTTCATCATGAATACATCCAAACACAAATAAGACCTGGTTTAGTGTGATACTATAGCTGGATCTCAGTACATTTTTGTTTCTATGATCAAGTTTTGACTACTTGGACAACTCTGTTCCATACAACAGTTCTTAGAGGGATCATGCTCCTCTTTGAGTTTTCTCTTTGTGATAGCCTTTTCATAAAATTGCCACAGTTTTAGTGGAAAGGAGGCAAAAGAGGACACAATAATGAGACAGTGACAAACTATTAAATGCCTCGTATTGCTGTACCAAGCCTAATCCTACCTCCGCTGCAGTGATGGCAAGTCTCAAAATCTGCTTTCTATGGTCTTCCACTTTGCTATTAAATCAGTACCTAAAATCCCACATCAGAAGATCAAAAGGCCAAAGCTTTTCCTATTGACTGTTTTTTTACCTGATGTGACACAGATGACTATAGATAATATAGATGTGACATCTATGACCAACATCATACAGATGACATGTTGGGCTGTAAACTTTCCAGATCTTGGTGCTTTCAGACAATCCATTCATACAGTTAGACAGCTGACTAATGACAGCTCTGAAGTTCCTGTCCCTGGTATCACCACTCTCTTGGCAACAGAAGCCGTCAGGCTTGCTGAATGGACTCCAACAGGGTCAGCTGAATGTGTGGATACATTCAAGCACTGTGTTATCCAGTAGTTGCTACATTATCTTTCCCATGTTCAGGTTCTGGTTTAGGTTGGAAATTAGGAGACCTTTCTTCTCAGAAAGAGCAGTCAGACATTGGAATGGGTTGCCCAGGGAGGTGGTAGAATCACCGTCCCTGGGGTTGTTAATGGAAAGGTTGGACCTGTTGCTTGGGGACATGGTTTAGTGTGTGACATTGGTAGTAGGGTGATGGCTGCACCAGATGATCTTGGAGGTCTTTTTCAACCTTTATGATTTTATGATTCTGTCTTTGGGTTGACAACAAAATGTAGGCTCCAGGGACTGACTTAGGACACTTAGCATGTGGGGTTGATATGAAAATGTTGATTTCTGAAAATTGATGGGTTTCTCCTTTGGATTGCAGGACCTGTATAAAAACCCTTTCTAATTATGTGGACCTCATTTGCAATTATGTATCTCTACTACTTCTATCTTTTATACATTTTTATATATAAAATTTTTCTTAGATGCTTGAAAAGGTGAAAATATCCCCGAGTTAAGGACTAGAAATATATTGTAGACATTTTTCTGTACCTCAGTAATATTTTTTCTCCTAATTTGTACATATTTCCTTCCAGTAGTATTTATTCCCTCTGTTGAACCTGTGTTCTTTTTCATTTGCAAACCATATCTGATATGCAAAAAAGGTCCCATAGAGTTATTTTTCAAAGATGTATTGAAAAAAATAGCATGTTACAGTATGCTATGCTTCCAGATATGCTTCTAGCCCAGGTTCCAATCTAACCCTTCCTTCTTTCTAATGTTAATCTTCTAGGGGATAGTATATAATCTACCCTAAGAAGCAAAACAAAAAGAAGCATAAAAGTGACAGTATTTTCTGTGGTGTACTAGTGACAGTACATTTGCTACCAGTTGGATGATATGGGTTCTAATCTGCCCCAGTGCAATATAAATTATATTTCTTATAGTTTAATAGCCTACCAATAGCTTTTATGATGAGTATTTAAACAAAACAAACCAAAAAATTATCTTCCAAAACCACGTTACTAAATAAACTCACGCTAATAGGCAGGAACATTTCAGGTAAAAGAAAGAGGGACATACTTACAAGTTCCCTTTGTATCAATGTTAAATTGTTTGTTTCATTAAACATTTGAATCCTAATGTATGATATAATCACATCATAAATTTTGATGTAATTAAACAGTGATCTTCCCTGGGAAACTAATGGACTTCTGGAAAATATCCCTCAATAAGATAAAAGATATGCTCCTTTCCCATTGAATTAATTCACATGGCCTTCATGGAATTTTCATACGATCACATTCCAGTTTGGACTGAAAAAAAAAAAAAAAGGTTTTTCATATGATATTACTACTTTAAAAAATCTTTAATGTGTGTAGAAAAGACCCAGGCAGATATCTGGAACACAATTCAGAAAATGATTGTACTCCTTTCTGCACGATGTCAAAACAGTCTTTGCCACCTATCATTTTTAATGTTCCTTGAAAACTTATTAAAGCATTTACAAATAAACTTTCCACATCAAAACCCAGGGTATCCTTTTAGTGTTTTGTTCTATTGTGAAAGTCACAGCGATTACAGATTAGTCTGGTAGATCTTTGGCTCCTGCCTCCCCAGTTTTCTAAAGGCAACACTTTCTATTGTAACTCATTATTGTTTGTTTCCTTGACAATCTTTCTCATCTAGCCTTCATGGCACAAATGACTACAGACTTGGCAGCATTAACAGATTTCTCATCAAAAAAAAAAATCCACAGAACGTTTTGTTAATTCTAGCTATGTTGGTGTCAACACAAGCAGCAGAAAAAAAAAAAAAAAAAGCGGCAGGAAGAACTTTTTACTCTTCTGCTGCTTGAGGAAACGAAGTGCATAAGTATCTATATACACACCTGTAAATATTCCTCTATGGGTACATACCATGAAATATTCTGTGTTGTTCTTGGGGCAGCATAGTGCTAAGACTTTGCTCCACAAATCTCTGCTCCTTCATTCCTCCTAGCATGGCAGCGAGATTTTTTCACTGCTGAAATTGCTTCCTGTATTGAAATGCTGTTACTTCTAGGAAGGCAGAGTAATGTCTGATCCTCTAAATTTTATTCAGCCTGACTTAAAGGTGACTGAATAAAATCAATTAGACTAATTCAAAGTCTTCAAAGTGCCTTTTATGCCAAGTGAAACTTGTGACTGTACGTATAGTATTGTATCTTACAGTTTTGTGCATGCACAAGCAGAATCAAACATGTTTATACAGACAGTTTCACATATAGATTATTCTACACTCACACTACACAATTTTATTTTAGTTCCCAAAATGAAACCATGATGATCAGGAATTCTTGGGGGGTGGGGTAGGGGTGGGGGGAGGAGGAGGGATGATGGGTAATCTTTCAGGCATAAGAAAGGGCAAACAAAGAACTGTCATACATTGATTGATTTTATCCCAATATACCAATATAATCACTACTCCTTACTTTCATGTCTAAGAAAGAGAAAAGCTTCCTGCTTTTCATGAGCAGCCTGCTGTCAATCATAGAATCATAGAATGGCTCAGGTTGGAAGGGACCTTAAAGATTATCTAGCTCCAACCCCACTGCCATGGGCAGGGATGCCACCCACTAGATCAGGTCAATGCCAAACTCTTGGCTTGCTGATATTAAGTGCTGAGTGCTGTGGCTATTGTTGAGAAGGTGGCCAATTCTCAATAATAACAGTAATTGATACCATTTTCAGGAGCCACAGGAAGCCTAATTCACTGCACTCCACTCTTCACTACTCTGCCTTTGCTCCATCTTTTTTTCTACCCTTCTGAGACAAGTTGATTGCTCCGCATTGATTGTTCCTACTCACTGTCAGAAGATGCTTCTGAGAAGGTATAAGCCAGCTCTGCTTGACAATGCAAGCTTTGATTCTAGGCACTGTGAAAGCACACACAGAAAGACAGACCTGTTTCTAAAATATACCATAAGGGAATAGACAAAAACAAAGCATAAGAGAAAAGACATATTATGTATGGTTTGCAAGGGAAGAACTGAAGCACACTGCAATTTACTTGCTACAGGCAAAAGCAAATAAACACACTCTAGATTTCCTGAATCACTTTTGCCACAAGACCATTGTCTCTTAATGCCATTTGCTGCCATATGTTAAAAAGACTTACAGATATACAGGGGGTCTTCTGTAACTCAGCATCACTCTGACACTGCTGCAGGACTTTTGGTGAGGATGAACTTTACCTGGGTCTGTTCTACAGAGTAAGAATAGGGACTGAAGAAGGTAAGGAAAAAGAAAGGGGACAAGCAGAAAAGGGTTACAAATTACACATTTCTCTTAATTAGAGATGTATTTTGGAACATGCTCCAGCCTAGGCCTCATGTTTTGAAAAGGCAAATAATACTAGGCTTTTGATTTTGACCTAAAAACCATACACAAATAACATGCTACTATTTCTCTTGCTAGGCACTCAGAAAAATGAAGAGCAGAGATGCATAAGAAAAGTTACAAATTAGAGAATAAAACACTTTTTTACTTCACTGTTTTACTTTTGCTAAAAGGATATTAGCAAAACATGTAATACAAGGTATTTTTTCAACTGAGTAATTTCAATAATATGTGTTTCACAACAAACACTTGTCATGGGACCTTTGTTTAAAAGTCAGCTGCATGTT